CCCCCAGACCCCCCCTTCATACTTCCTACCTACGGCGCTCGTGCCGTGCGCCTTCGCACAACTGCTCGGATGAGTAGCGCATACGAACAGGTGTCCGATGTTCGGACGAATATCCACGTCGTTCATCGAATGCCTCTAGGGGCAGCGCGTCTCCCAAGTCCGAAATAGTAGGTGTCAGAGGAGAGATAGTGATCTGCTAGATGGCGCATTATTAGTATAAATAAGTTGTGGATATAAAAATCAGTTGACCTTAACCCTAACCCTAACCCTAATCCTAACCCTATCCCTAATTCAAAAAAATATTAATACTAATAATTTGGCGCCTTTCGGACTTGGGAGACGCGCTGCCCCTAGTCGCAGCTTTTTTCATCGGAATAAAACCTTATTGTACTCAATACTCTGCTTAAATATAAACAACGCGAGAGAAGCCAGTGTCCGCGCCCGCGCTAGGTCCTCATACGAGGGTGTCCAGGCGACCGTTAACTACGGTGACGTCACTGCTGCCAGCATTACACGACGGGTCGGTATTCGTCTCTAATGTCAATCTCTTTTTCAGGAGGATTAATCCGACGACGATGAGTAGGATTACCAATAATAAGCCACCAATGACCAGTCCAACAATAAGTCCAATGTTTGATGTTTGTGGTGGAGGGACAACGACCACAGACATTGTATTAGTAGAGAAGACCTTTCCTGCAAGATTGCAGACTGTGCATGTGTAGTCGCCCGCATCGACAGGGGTGACAGAGTCTCTCTCATACGTTCTGTTGGCTTTTGCTGGGATAACAGTTCCGTTGTGAAGCCATGAATAACTTGGCTCGGGGTTTCCGTCTGCGTTACAGAGCAGCCACAGCGCACTGCCGTGGTTGACAGTCATAACGCCTGCCTGACTGTCACCGCTTACTCTGACTTCTCCAATGTAAATAACATTGAGCCGAACATCGACTGACAGTGACTGCAATGATTCGTGGATGTCAACATGACAGGCAAGTATTTTGTTGTGATCATCAGCGGTAAACGTACGCGTCAGTTTGCTGTACGTCATTATAGTTCCATCAACCTCACTGACATGTAAAGTATTAGCTCCATCTATAGGTGTATCACCAAGGTTCCATGTTACTGTTCCTCCCGGAAAGCTTTTACCTGTAGTGCAGCTAACCTCATGGAATTCCGCAAGTATCGTCATATTACCGTCTACATTATTACCGTCTATCGTCATTGTGACATTCCTTGCTGGCACTAACACGGTCACATTCAACTTGTTACTCGACATGTACGCTCCAAACACACTAGTTGCTATACACGCGTACAATCCTCTGTGTTTAAACTCGACTTGCTTGATCACCACCTCGTTGCCTGCAGCTTGTATCCCCTGGTCGTCGTGCAACCACGTGTAAGATGGTTCTGGATAGCCGTCAGCATTGCAGCGTAGAACCAGCTTCTCTGCCTCGATAATAATGACGTCATCATCACTGGAGTTGTTGCTGCTAATGATGGTTACGATGTCTGCCATGTACAAAATCTCGGTTAACACTTCTTCGGGTAAACGTTGGTGAATGTAGATATGACAACGAAGTTCTTTGTCAATATCTACCATTGAAAACCTGTGACTCAGGATACTTTTTGTTGTAAATGTCTTCTTTCTTGAATCCGCTTCCTCTGTTTGACTGGAGTCGGCCGTAATCTCATCAGCATTCAGCGTCCAGGTGATGCTAGCTGCTGGATTACTGCTGTCTGATACACAAGAGAACTGTAGCGTTCCATCCGGTGATGAAGAGCTGTCTATAAGAGACATGGCAACCGACTGTGGTGGCACAAGCACAGTTAGATGTCCCTGGTCAGATGAAGGGCCGCTCCCCGGCGCACCCGCGGGATTCTGCCACACACAACAAAACTCTGCGTCATCTTTCTCAACTCTCACGTTAGATATTAGCAAGCCAAAGTTTCCTGTGTCGTACCTGTTGTCGTCAATGTAGGAATATCCTTCTTCATTAGTAGGACTTACGTAGAAACCGTCTCGATACCAATAAACGAAAATGGGTAACTCTTCCCCGGAATTGAAACTAAGGTCAATCGTGCAGTGCACCGTAACACTGGTACCTTCAACTGCCTCCGTGTCAGATGGTTGCTGCAGGAACTGCGTCCTCACCGCCACTATTAAGGCTGCGCACAATATAGGCCTACACACCGCAACCAGCTTCACTGGTGCCATTGTTAATACTGCCTGTGTGAAATAACTCATGCGTGCATGCGTGCATGCGTGGGTGTTTACCTGGTCAACATGCCTGTCTATTATCTAATGAGATACGTGTGGCTATAATGCACCTGTATGACATACACAGTATGATACACTGATACACTGTATGATACACTGTTTGATATGAATCACAGACTTCGCCACTAAATGTTTGCATAAAAACAAAGTGCATCAAAATTATGGAAATTTGCTGTGTGAACAAAATCATGCTATGAAAAAGAGCTCTGGCCAAGCCTAAAATAGCTCCCGTAAAAAAAAGAGCAGTCGTCGTTGTTCCCTCGGTGTAAAATATTTGCACACACACCGCATTAACGCTGAAGGGGTCGTTGCCGTATGGTATCAGGTACTTCTCCCTACTCCACCTACTAGACTCTAGTACTACTCTAAACTTTCTCCTCCCCCCCCCTCTCTTAC